CGAATCCTACTGTAGAATACAAGTCCGTAGGATGACGTCAGCAAATAGCGCTTGTCATAAGGACAGTCGTTTCAGTCACGCGAACAGTTGCATCTCTTCATTATCATCTAGGGCGCATAGCGCGATAGTGACGAACAGGTACATTAGCGAATAGGTACTTTCCTAGAGCTATAAATCCTTGTTGTATCTTTTTATTGTTAACCTTGAGATTTCAACTTTGAGACTTTAAAACCTTGACCTTCCACAGAACTATATACTCAGGTTCACTCTTACAAGACTTCCGTTGTCTTACTAGTCTACCATTCCAGTAAAGATCCTAGGCTAACACTTGAGGTTTTCCAAGTGTTTGTGTTTGCAGATTCTATACTTAGTCTTCTTCAACACCTGTCAAATTCTTACACAAGCTACTTATTGTCAAACATGTGTATTTGTCATATTTGTATAGACTGTATAGGGTCGCCTCTTAGAGAGTACAACACTTAGGTATATCTGTGTGTACTCTCACTCTATCCACATTCACTTCTCAATTCTGATATGGTATCACGCGTAGGTAGGATCCCCCCCCCCCCCACCTACCGCTTCCGCTCACCCCTCTAGCCCCGTCGCGACCCCCCTAGCCCCGTCGCGCCCCATCCTGGGCCCTATAGCGCCCCTCCTGGGCCCCGTCGCACCCCTCACTAGGCTCCGTCGCGCCCCTCCTAGGCCCCATCGCGCCCCTCCTAGGCCCTGTAGCGCCCCTCCTGGGCCTCGTCGCGCCCCTCCTGGGCTCCGTAGAGCCCCTCCTGGGCCCCGTCGCGCCCCTCCTGGGCCCCGTAGCGCCCTTCCTGGGCCCCGTCGCGCCCTTCCTGGGCCCTGTAGCGCCCCTTCTGGGCCCCGTCGCGCCCCTCCCAGGCCCCGTCGCGCCCCTCCTGGGCTCCGTAGCGCCCCTCCTGGGCCCCGTCGCGCCCCTCCTGGGCCCCGTAGCGCCCCTCCTGAGCCCCGTCGCGCCCTCCCTGGGCCCTGTAGCGCCCCTCCTGGGCCCCGTCGCGCCCCTCCCAGGCCCCGTCGCGCCCCTCCTAGGCCCCGTAGCGCCCCTCCTGGGCCTTGTCGCGCCCCTCCTGGGCTTCGTAGCGCCCCTCCTGGGCCCCGTCGCGCCCCTCCTGGGCTTCGTAGCCCCCCTCCTGGGCCCCGTCGCGCCCCTCCTAGGCCCCTGTAGCGCCCCTCCTGGGCCCCCGTCGTGCCCCTCCTGGGCCCCGTAGCGCCCCTCCTGGGCCGCGTCGAGCCCCCCCCCCCCTCCTGGGCCCCGTCACGCCTTCAGGCCCCGTCGCGCTCGCCCGGCCCCGTCGCCCCAGCCCGGCCCCGTCGCACCAATCCGGCCCCGTCGCACCAGCCCGGCCCCGTCACGCCCGCCCGGCCCCGTTGCACCCGCCCGGCCCCGTCGCCCCCTGCCCGGCACCGTCGCAGCCGCCCGGCCCCGCCGCACCCGTCCGGCCCCGTCGCGCCTGCCCAGCCCCGATGCGCCCCTCCTGGGCCACCGTCCTGCTCGCCCGGCCCCGTCGCACCGGCCCGGCACCGTCGCACCAGCCCGGCCCCGACGCACCCGCCCGGCCCCGTCGCACCAGCCCGGACCCGTCGCCCGCCCGGCCCTGTCGCGCCCGCCCGGCCCCGTTGCACCGGCCCGGCCCCTGCGCTCGTCCCTGCCCCGGCCCCGGTCGTCCTCACTGGTACGGTTTCCCCCCCCCCCCCCCCCACCCCCCCCGCTGTCTGACTACCTTCGTGCCGCTCGTCCCCTTGTTCCTCGGGTCCTTGCCTCTCTCGTTACCGACCCGTCTGTTCCGACCTCGTCCCTTGACGCTCTTGTCGCAGCTGTCGCTGACTTCGCCTCTACCCGCCGCCTTGACTACGCCTCCGCTCTGGTCTCTGACCCTGCCTGTCCTCCGTCTGTCGGGGGTGCTCCTGCCCTTGGCAGTGACGTCCTGGAGGACCGCCAGTTCGAGCTTGCTTTCCTCTCCAAGGCTGCTCCCCATCTCTGTTCCATGCTGCTAGTCCCTGAGGGTGACCCAGACGCTTTCGACATCCCTACCCCTCGCACTTACGCTGAGGCGACTTCGGGACCCTGGGCCTCGCAGTGGATAGCTGCCATGGAGCAGGAGATGGCATCTTGGAGATCCACCGGCACCTCCGTCGACGCAGTTCCCCCACCTGGGGTGAACGTAGTCGATGGCCGCTGGCTCTTCAAGGTGAAGCGCCCTCCTGGAGAGCCGCCTGTCTTCAAGGCGCGCTATGTCGCTAGAGGCTTCAGTCAGCGCGAGGGGGTGGACTTCTTCCAGACCTTCGCTCCGACCCCGAAGATGACTACTCTTCGGGTTCTGTTACACCTCGCTGCTCAGCGTGACTACGAGCTTCACTCCCTCGACTTCTCCACTGCCTTCCTTCAGGGCAGCCTACACGAGCAGGTCTACCGGCGGCGCCCTCAGGGCTTCACTGGCACCTTCCCTCCTGGGACCCAGTGGCTCCTGCGGCGCCTCGTCTACGGCCTGCGCCAGGCTCCCCGTGAGTGGCACGACACTCTCCGTGCTACGCTTGCTGACCTGCAGTTCTTTCCGTCTTCCGCAGACCCTTCACTCTTCATTCGTGCTGGCCAGACTCCGTTCTACATCCTTGTTTACGTCGACGACCTGGTCTTTGCCACAGCTGACAGGGACGCACTGGCCTCCGTGAAGGCAGAGCTGCTGAAGCGACACACGTGCACTGACCTTGGAGAACTGCGCCGTTACCTTGGCTTGCAGATCTCCAGGGACAGAGCTGCGCGCACCATCACCCTGACTCAGTCACACTTGGTGCGCCAGGTCCTTCAGAGGTTCAGCCTTCAGTTCTCTTCTGCACAGCCCACCCCTCTGCCTGTAGACCACAGACTCTCCGCTCCAGTGTCTGAGGAGTTGGTAGAGCCCAGCGGCCCCTACGCAAAGCTGGTGGGTTGCCTCATGTACCTGATGACTTGCACTCGCCCAGATCTCGCATACCCTCTCAGCATCCTGGCTCGCTTTGTGGCCACAGACAGGCACCGACCGCAGCACTGGTCTGCCGCTAAGAGGGTTCTGCGTTACCTTGCTAGTACATCAGGCATGGGGTTAGTGCTAGGAGGACGCAGGCCAGTGGTCCTTACTGGACACACAGACGCTTCGTGGGCAGACGACGCTGAGACACTCAGGTCTACCCAGGGCTACTGCTTCAGCCTTGGCTCAGGTGCCGTCTCGTGGAGAGCTACCCGCTCCTCGTCTGTTGCGCAGTCCAGCTGTGAGGCTGAGATCTACGCTGGTGCCATGGCGGCACAGGAGCTCCGCTGGCTGACCTTCTTGCTCACTGACTTAGGTGAGCGGCCTAGCTCTGCCCCGGTCCTGTTCGCTGACAACAGGGCCATGATCCTCCTGTGTCAGGAGCCTCGACTCGAGGGCAGAGCAAAGCACATTCAGCTGCGGTACTTCCTCCTGTGTGAGCTACAGCAGCGACGTCAGGCTCGTGTAGTACACTTGGCCTCAGGTGCCAACACGGCTGATATCTTTACGAAGGCGCTTGCGCCTAAAGATCATCAGCGGCACTGTGTACAGCTTGGTCTAGTTCCTGTAGCCTCTCACTTGCTAGGACCTTGACTTTGTACTGTCCTTTATACATATACTCAGACTGGACTTGTGTCCTCTACCAGTGGCTGGACTAGTAGTGCCGCCCTGCTCTTGTTCTTGCCTTGTTTGTACGCCTTCTGACTGGTCTCTCAGACCCTTGTCTCAGAGGTTGGACTAGTAGTGCCGCCCTGAGCTGTTTGTTTAGGGCATTCCCCTATGCAGTCTAGGGGGTGTGTCAAACATGTGTATTTGTCATGTTTGTATAGACTGTATAGGGTCGCCTCTTAGAGAGTACAACACTTAGGTATATCTGTGTGTACTCTCACTCTATCCACATTCACTTCTCAATTCTGATACTTATATCTGCTAGAATTACCGGTTCGGTAATGTACCTGTTCAAAACTACTTGCGCTATGCGCTATAATCGCTACTGAAAGGTGTGCAACTATTCGCGTGATTGAAACGGCATGCTGGCGCAATCATCCAGACGAGAGCTATTTGCTGACGTCATTCTACGGATGCTAGGTACAGTATAACTCGACAATATCCATCATAGCTACATACAGAAATGCTGAAGTACGATTTTATCACAACAACAGAATCCATCGCGGCATTGTCATTGTGGCGGCCTTGTCATTGTATATGATGCCATAATTATACGCTTGTGATTTTATATCCACCTTTTATTGAAGAATGTGGCCCATGCATGGGTCGTCATTATTTCACTCATGAGACAAAACCTCCATGCATAATCAAATTTGTCCCATTTAGAAAATTGTCACCGAATTGTTGTGAACCAGCTCGCAAATAATTTCCTGGTGTCGCGTTGGTTTGGCTGTACTCCAGCCTGGTTGGTTGGTGGGGTTTGGCAGAGCCTATCCGCGTGTGGACTGGCATTGACGCGGTGTGTCACATGGAAAACACGTCAACTCCTCGCTGGATCTCTTTTCTCGAGGCCAGTGATTGGTTGCTTTCAACCGTGATTTGCGGTCGATGACGCCACCTCTGCATGTTTCGCTTCACCCAAACCGCGTTCCTGCCCACCAAAACCGAACTTGCCTGACTGGACCTCGAACCTGGACAGTGATGGATCTTACAAACCCGTCGCTATTCGCGAACCTCCTAGACTGAGGCTGTCGAATTTCGCGGACCTGCTTACCTGAGGTGTTCGCCAATGTCTAGCCTAATAGGCTGAGGTTTCCCTGCCACCAAACCTGTAACCCTGGCCCTCTGACAAGCTCACCGAAACAAACTTCAGGGATCCGAGCCTAGCCCAGACCAGGCCGAGCCAACGGCCCAGAATGTTCGGGCACCGTTGTCTTCGAGAGAGCAAGGCAAGCAAACCTGCTGGATGTCCTGGGACTGGTCCAGACTCCAGAGCAAGCCAACCCCAAGAGGAAGGGATAGCCGGTTTGTCAGGCGGGCATGCTCCACCCCTCTCAATTATAAGAACCACATTCCTAATCTCCAAGCATTATCAACTTCAGCAGAAATTCCACTACCTGGTTTTCATAGTCCTAGTCATCTCGAGCTTGTCGCCCGCGTTCACGCCTGTCACTTACGTTTGAAACTTCTGTTACTCACGTTGACCGCCATGGCAGTAAGTTCGCCAACGTCCATGTCGTCGCTACTGAATCCTGATGCCCCTAATTTCGTGCCAGCTGCGTTTAGAAACACCGAGGATTTCAGCCAAGAATGGTGGGATAAGGTGCAAAATTCCCCTGCGTTTAGAGACTACTGGCTCCGCGAGCGCTTCGCTTCTTTGGAAGCAGAAGTAACCGAGTCAGGCAACAGCAACGAGGAGGAGGAGTTGGTAGACGAGCAATTACTGGAAGACATGGTTGATGAAGAGTTGAAAGAGGAGCTCTACGTGCTCGACATAGACGAGGATTTTGACGAAGTTTTGCAAGATTCTTCAGCCGAGCTTTGTGAAGAGTTGCTAGGTAAGCGGCATTTAGACATTCTACGGACCTCAATTTTTTTTTTCCCCTACTTTCTTTGCTTATCTTCTTCCCTTGTCTACGGCTCTTTCCTTCTTCTTGCTTCTCACACGCGTTACTTTCCCTCATGGAGATGGCAGGCAGTCGTGAAGAGTTGCCGGAGCGGTCGCGCGAGCCATTCGGCTTGACACAAGAGGTCACTAACAAGCTCAATAAGTCGAGGAAGCACGACCGCATTAAGGAGAACCGTTATGAAGGCCGTCGCTAGGCCTAGGCAGCAGCAGCACACCCGCGTTATTCAACAGCCTAGGGCTTAAGTTACGTATGGAGAGCGATATTGATGTGGTGCTTCCATGTACATGTTTGCTTCGTTTAGCTTACTTAGCATACATGGGCGCTCCTCAAGGGTAGACGCTCTTTGGGTTGTAATGCTCGTGACTGTAAAATTCAGGTTCATGATTGACCCTTCCGAGTTCCATGTAGTGACGAATGGGGAAACTGGTTGATTATACTGCACACACACTGAGCAGGCTTGGATTTCACCGCATACCTTTCCTCGCCAGGGTTGGTTGCTGCTGCTTATGCGCCCACATACCAGCAATCTTATGCTACCAGTGAATAATAAGATACCTACCCTTTTTCTTGGAAAAAGAAGAGAATTTCAGATATTCTTGGCATGAACGATACACAATGGAGCCTGGGAGAATGTGCCTCGTAGCAGCTTTACACATCAAGATAAATTGTGATAGCGCTCTGCTGCAACACACATGACGCGTCAGGAGAGGGAGACTCCCCAACTCCCCCACAAACCCGAACGCATTCATGTTTCTCTTACAGTCTCTCTCCCCATCCCCTAAGTTTCCCCTCCCCTCAAGTGTCTCCCTTTTCCTACTGACTCCCCCCAATCCGGATCTTGGACTTGCTGGCATCTTCCAGAAACAGGTTCTCAGCTGTCTCGCTGTGGTACACACAAGACACCTCAGGGGACTCCCTCAGGTCGCCCACGAACCCAAACGTGTTCATGTTGCGCTTGCAGTCCCGCACCTCGTCCGACGAGATGAGCCCCTTTGACTCCAGCACGTGCCAGTTGCTCTGCCGCAGCACACACCCGGGCTTCACCTCTGCTTGAGAGACGTAAACGTTGAATCTGGAAGAAGGGAAAAGATGAGGGGGAGAGAGAAAAGGAAAATGCGGGACAGGTAAGGAGGGAGAGGTACAGAAGTGAGCTCCCAGGCTTGTCTTTGCTGCGCTTGCAGTCCCACACCTCGTCCGATGAGACGAGACCCTTTGACTCGAGCACGTGCCAGTTGCTCTGCTGCAGCGCACACCCGGGCTTGACTTCTGCTTGAGAACGCATTGAATCTGGGAAAGGTAAATGGGAGGAAACGGGAGGGGGAAGCGGGGAGAGGGGAGGGGAGGACAGAGGGAGAAGCGAGAGCTGGGAGAGGGATCTCGAACGTGTTCATGTTTTGCCTGCAGTCCCACACCTCGTCTGATGGCACAAGGTCCTTTGACTCGATCTGCTGGTCCAGCAGCCCCATGGGGCTCATGCCAATAGCTAGGCTGATGTCTGGGAATCCTGGTTACCACATGGTTAGAACAAAGAACATGTTACGAGTTGAATGAGATGAGCAGCCATTGGCCCAGCACCATCGCACACACTCATGCTGTTAGCTCGACTGATATCTAAGAATCCTGGTTACCACATGGCTAGAACAAAGAACACGTTGCGGGTTGAATGAGACGAGCAGGCGCTGGTCCGGCACCATCGCACAAACTCATGCCGTCGGCCAAAGAGGTGTCCGGAATACATGGTTACCGGCAATCTCAGGTTGAAAGTGAGAACACTCACAGATAAACAGCCGCTGATCCAGCACCATGGCGCTTATGCCGTAAGCACTGCGCCCACTGACACACCAGACAGATGACTTGATTGAGCATCTGCCGGTCGATGACCTCTCTGCTCACTACGTTGCTCGGCTCCACGTTCAGCACCGTGGCCACCGACACGACCGCTCTATCCACAGTGGCTGCCTACCTAGGCCCAGAGGTTGGTTACCAGCGCCCCAATTGCTGGTTACCAGCGCCCAGATTGCTGGTTACCAGTGCCCAGATTGCTGGTTACCAGTGGCCCAATGCTGCCGAAGTTCAGCACGGTGTCCACCTACACCGTCCCCCTGCTAGTTACCTGGTTACCAGACATTGTATGGGGGTTCTTAACCAGGAGAAAGAGTGAGAAAAACTCACGGATTGAAGGAAATAAACAGCCGTTGGTCCAGCACCATGGCGCTCATGCCATTGGCCAGGCAGATGTCCGGGTTGGGCGTCTGCCTGTCGATCACCTCTCTGCTCGCCACGTTGCTCGGCTCCACGTTCAGCACCGTGTCCACCGACACGCCTGCGCCTATCCCCAGTAAGAACACACCCGCTAGTGCGAACTTGCTCACTGACGCGAACGGGTTCGACGGCCGCGGCGGCGGCGGCGGCGCCCGCGGCGGAGGCGGAGGGGGAGGGGGAGGCGGGGAGCGCGGGGGAGGCGGAAGGGAGGAGCGGGAAGGAGCGGAGGAGGATTGGCGCGGTGAAGGGGGGGATGGGCGCTGGAGCGGGGGAGTGGACGGGGTGCGGAGGGAGGGGAGCGGGGGGATGGTGGCGCGGGGGGAGGGTGAGTACTGGTAGGCGGTGTCCTCTTTACTAGCTTCTGGGTCTTCGTCGCCTGTGTGGTAGTTATAACGATAACCGGATCTGCTTCTTGGCGGGTCTAAATCGTAGTCCAATCCTTGACTACTGCTAGTACTACTCGAAGATAACCGCCATTCCCCCGCCTCCCCTAACGAGGCCCAATCCCCGGCATTTCCGCGCTGCTGTGTTCTCTCCCCCCCCTGATCTCTCTCCACCCGCCGCTGCTCCCCTGCTGTTTTGCCCGCGGGAAAAACATCTCCCCCTTCCGCGCTCCCCGCGCCTCGTTCCTCTCCCCGCGACCCTGAACTCGACGCGTTTGTCCTCAACGAATATAATCCTGCCACGTCATCGTCGTCCGAAGGGCCCTTGGCGGGTCGCCAGCTACTACCCCCGTTTGCGCGGGTAGGCGCGCGGAGAAACCGTGCGCGGAGTTCGGGGGTGCGGGGAACCGTCGCGGAGAGGGGGACGCGCGGAAGAGGAGAGAGGGGACAGGGGCGGAGGCGGCTGGCGCGGCGGGAACCAGAAACGATGGTCTGGTTAAGACAGGAGCGGGAAACGCGGAGGGAGGCACTAGGATGCGTGGTAGTCGCCATGGGTGGGACGCGAGGAGCCGCGAGGGCGAGAAGCACGTGGTGCACCCGTGGTGCGCACGTGCCTTACTAAGCAGAAACGTGTGGAAAGGAGCGGAAAGAGAGGAGGTTTGAAGGGCAGGAGGTGCCTTGAGCCACACGTCACGAATTCTGACAAGCTGCGCGATGTGGAGGTGGCTATACAGCGGATGCCGCGATCCGCTAAAAAAGAATCCTATGTAACAGCTGGTTCATGCACTAGTTGGAGTGAACAAAAACGAGGACCATAACATAGGACGGAAAATGAACCACTACTTGTTGTAGATAACCGCTTTGATGCAAATGAATTCCGTTCTGCTCATCATTTTTTTATGTTATTTCATTGAGGACCTTTGAAATCCGTCGTTTGGTGTGACAATCCCATTTAGCACAAGTTTTTTGATTGACAATGTTGAGTGGAATTCGCCTAGTATTTTCTTTGATTTTTGAACACCCTTTCCTGTCGTGTATTCGAACCTTACAACTAGCGAGAATCCTCTTTATTGCTTGGCTGACTCAGCAGCCCCTTGGGGACTGCCTGAATAAACTGAACACGTTCAGTAGGCTCGGTAGGAGTTACCGACCGGCTAATAAATCGCCGAGCCTAACGTTCTAGTTCTCCTTGACCTCGTTGCTCCTCGTCGACCAATAAGTCGCCGAGCGTTTCGCGATCGACGAGAAAGTAACGCGTTCCCGGCGACGGCCGCATTGCTGCGTACTAGTCGGATAGGAGATCAGGAGGCCGGCATTATGTCAAGTACTAGTAGGAGTCGCACCAGCCATGACCACGGTCGTTACGACGACGCTGAGTGCGACACTGCGTGCGACTCTGTGTGCGACGCTGCGTGCGACGATGCGTGCGTCAAGCCACCGCCAGTGCCAAGCGCTTTTTCCCTCGCCGCGTTCCCCTCTGCCAGGTCAAGCTGTGATTTACCGCACAAGTCGCTGCGAGTGCTCGATTAAAAATCGCCACTTAGAGAGATGCCAGTCAAGCAGTGCTTTACTGTACAAGGCGCTGCGAGTGCTCTAGTATCGAAGCGCCTCTATTTCTTATTCGCCTCTACTGCGAGCGGTCTATTATAGAGGCGCATCTAAACGAGATGCCAGTCAAGCGGAGCTTAACCGCGGAAGTCGTTGCGCGTTGCGAAGCCACCGAGGCCCTCGGGTCGAGACGGGTCGTCGCCGCACGGCGCCGGCGGTGTGAGCCCCCGCACACTCATCCTTCCCCGCTCGAAAGCGAGATCGAACGTCGAACATCGAACGTGGAACGTGGAGCGCGATCCTTGTTGCGACCGCGTCGTCACTAGCTGGCCGAGCGGCCATAAATCGAGACGATATCAGCAGCTGTGAGAATCAGTCTTCAACGTAGTAGCCTCTTCTAGAGGAAACCCCTCCCTGTTGTACCTCTACTGGTGCTGTATCTGTAACTCTACTACCACTCTACCACTGTACCACCCTTCACTCTAGTGTGTTTGTAACTCTACCACTCTACCGCCCTTCCTGTCTTTCGCTGCATCGTAGCCGTCCATTGAACCGACTCAAGATCAGGCTGGAAAAGAAGCCCGTTCCTTCCCCCTCGCCACGCGGCACAGCAGAAGCACTTGACAGCTGCACGCCAGCCGCTGTCCAACCGGCTGCTAACTTGCCGGCTGCCTGGCTGCTTACCTGCTTACCGGCTGATTGACGAGCCCTGCCGGCTGCACGGGTGTTGGTGCAGTCTAGCTGCACAAGCCTCCGTTGAAGGATGGAGCGTTCCAAGGCCGTGTTTCGCGTGTTCCTCATCGCGCTCGTTGCTGGTACGCCGTCGAGTTGTCGTGCGTGCAGTCTGTGCTGCTGTTGTTCCCTGCTTCGTTTGCCCCTTCGAGTCGACTAGAATCAGAGTCAAAGGTCGTGTTTCGCGTGTTCCTCATCAGTCGGCTAAGAAACAGAGTCAACGGTCGTGGTTCACCTGTTGTTCCCCATTGCCCGCGTTGCTGGCGTGCGTCTCCTCTTCTCAGCACCTGCTATCTCCGATGCTTCTTGTTGCCTCTCGTGCTCTCTTATCCCTTCATCCCTCTTCTTGCTTCTCGTGCTCTCTTATCCCTTCAGGTCCATAGTGCCACCACTCTATTTTTGACTCATGCCTCTTGACGCTCAAATGGCCGCTGTCAGCGGCTGGCATGTGAGTGCAAACAAGCACACGCTCCTTTGTGTCTCCGTGTCTCCCCCACGTGTTTCCCTCACAGCGAGCCTGCTACAGTTGTCGCTGGGAGCAAAAACCATTAGCAGCACTGGTGGCAACAGTCCCTCTGAAACCAGAAGCACCAATGGCAGCAACAGCGCCGACAGCAGCACCCGTGGCGACGCCGGCGGCAGCGACGGCAACAGCGGCAAGAGCAGCACCCGTGGCGACGCCGGTGGCAGCTGCAGCAACAGCGGCGACAACAGCACCCGTGGCGATGCCGGCGGCAGCAGTGGCAACAGCGGCGACAGCAGCACCCGTGGCGACGCCGGCAGCAGCGGCGCCAACAGCGGCGACAGCCGCACCCATGCCGGCGCCGGCGGCAACGGCGGAAACAGCGGCGACAGCAGCACCCGTGGCGACGCCGGCGGCAGCGGCAGCGGCGGCAACACCGGCAACAGCAGCACCCTTGCCGACGCCGGCAGCAACGGCGGTAACAGCGGCGACAGCAGCACCCGTGGCGGTGCCGGCGGCTACGGCGGCAACAGTGGCGACAGCAGCACCCGTGGCGACGCCAGCGGCAGCGGCGGCAACAGCGGTGACAGCAGCACCCTTGGCGACGCCGGTGGCAACAGCGTCAACAGCAGCACCCGTGGCGACGCCCGCAGCAGCGGCAGCAGCGGCAATAGCGGGGACAGCAGCACCCGTGGCGACGCCGGCGGCAGCGGCAGCGGCGGCAACACCGGCAACAGCAGCACCCGTGGCGACGCCAGCGGCAGCGGCAGCGGCGGCAACACCAGCATCAGCAGCACCCGTGGCGACGCCGGCAGCAACGGCGGTAACAGCGGCGACAGCAGCACCCGTGGCGACGCCGGCGGCAGCGGCGGCAACAGCGGCGACAGTAGCACCCGTGGCGACGCCAGCGGCAGCGGCGGAAACAGCGGCGACAGCAACACCCGTGGCGACGCCAGCAGCAGCGGCGCCAACAGTGGCGACAGCAGCACCCGAGGCGGCGCCGGCGGCAGCGGCGGCAACAGCACCCGTGGCGACGCCAGCGGCAGCGGCAGCGGCGGCAACACCAGCAACAGCAGCACCCGTGGCGACGCCGGCAGCAACGGCGGTAACAGCGGCGACAGCAGCACCCGTGGCGTGGCGACGCCGGCGGCAGCGGCGGCAACAGTGGCGACAGCAGCACCCATGGCGTCGCCGGGGGCAGCGGCAGTGGCAGCAATAGCGGCGACAGCAGCACCCGTGGCGACGCTGGCAGCAACGGCGGCAACAGCGGCGACAGCAGCACCCGTGGCGACGCCGGCGGCAGCGGCGGCAACAGCGGCGACAGCAGCACCCGTGGAGGTGCCGGCGGCTACGGCGGCAACAGTGGCGACAGCAACACCCGTGGCGACGCCAGCGGCAGCGGCGGCAACAACGGCGACAGCAGCACCCGTGGCGACGCCGGCGGCAACAGCGGCGACAGCAGCACCCGTGGCGACGCCGGCAGCAGCGGCGCCAACAGCGGCGACAGCCGCACCCGTGCCGGCGCCGGCGGCAACGGCGGAAACAGCGGCGACAGCAGCACCCGTGGCGACGCCGGCGGCAGCGGCAGCGGCGGCAACACCGGCAACAGCAGCACCCTTGCCGACGCCGGCAGCAACGGCGGTAACAGCGGCGACAGCAGCACCCGCGGCGGTGCCGGCGGCAACGGCGGCAACAGTGGCGACAGCAGCACCCGTGGCGATGCCAGGGGCAGCGGCGGCAACAACGGCGACAGCAGCACCCGTGGCGACTCCGGCGGCAACAGCGGTGACAGCAGCACCCGTGGCGACGCCAGCGGCAGCGGCGGAAACAGCGGCGACAGCAGCACCCGTGGCGACGCCGGCGGCAGCGGCAGCCGCGGCAACAGCGGCGACAGCAGCACTCGTGGCGACGCCGGCGGCAACAGCGGCGACGGCAGCACCCGTGGCGATGCTGGCGGCAGCGGCAGCGGCGACAGCAGCACCCGTGGCGACGCTGGCCGCAGCGGCGGCAACAGCGGTGATAGCAGCACCCGTGGCAACGCCGGAGGCAGCGGCGGCAACACCGGCGACAGCAGCACCCGTGGCGATGCCGGCGGCAGCGGCAACAGCGGCGACAGTAGCACCCGTGGCGACGCCGGCAACAACGGCGGCAACGGCGGGAAGGGCGACAACAGCACCCGCGGCGACGTCGGTGGCAATGGTGGCATGGGCGACAACAGCACCCGTGGCGACGTCGACGGCAATGGCGGCAAGGGCGACAACAGCACCCGTGGCGACAACAGCACCCCTCCACCCCTAGTGCCGCTGCTGGTTGGCACAAGGGTGAAAATCGACGGCCGCTCGTTCGCCTTCGCGACGCGCCGCTGCGTCGGCATTTCTGCCAGGAGGGGTCGTGGGAAAAGGGTGCAGGTGGCGTGGAAGCAGGCGGGCAAGGCTTCTTGCAAGAAGATCCAGTTCTTTGCTGGCCCGGGCTGCAAGGGGAAGGTGGTGGACACCCTCGCACAGGGCAGGGGGTGAGTTGGGGACGCAGGGGGTGAGTTGGGGACGCAGGAGTGGGTTTGGAATGGTGTGCTGTGGTGAATGAATCATGTTGCTGGCGGGGTAGTTTGCCGGACAGCTGAGAGAGCACCGGGCTGTAAGCGAAAGGTGTTTGAGGGATGAGGGTTGGGTGTGTGCTGGTGTCTGCTTTTTCGCTGTGTCAGCGCTATTATCCCTTGCGGACCATATGCCCTCGCACTCTCCTCCCCGCCCCCATTGGCCCATGCACCACCTCTCCCCTGTCCCCATTGGCCCGTGCATCACCTCTCCCCCGTCCCCATTGGCCCGTGCATCACCACCTCACCTTGACAGGTCTAAGAAGATGGCCAAGAAACTGAAGTCGATGCGCTGTGTCGTTGGTGCGTACCCTTGTTGAGTCATTTTCCATCACTCGTGCATGCGCGCGTACCCCGCTTGAGTCATATTGCACCACCCGTGCTTGCGTGCATACCCTGCTTCCCTCTTCCTGTGTCGCTCTTTTTCAAAGTCTCTTCACTCATTTCATTGTCCGGTACATTTTCGTCTGGCGTTGAACCTGCTGCTTGATTCCAGCAAATTTCGGCCCATTATATCTCTGCCTCTTCATGCCTATATCCCTGCCTCTCATTCCCTGTTGATAATCCCCCCCTCTCCCCCCACACCGTCTCTTTCTTGCTGGTGTTTCTAGAGGACATCGCAAAGCGTAACGCTGCCAACATTCGAGAATGAGTGGACGATTGAAAATGCCGCCTCTCCTCTCCTCTCCCCCCCCGTCTCTTTCTTGCTTGTTTTCCCAGAGGACGTTGCAAACGCATAATGCCATCAACAGTCCAAGGAACGGAGGATGGCACGGTGCACAAAGTAGTTTTTGAATAGACGCAGAAAAGAGGCCTGAATCAAGTCGTACTGTATGTTGGACGGGAGAGGCGGGGACTGAGTCTGGAAGGAGCAGAGGAATGAGAGTGGAGCAGTGGAGGGGGGGAGCATGGGCCATGCACTGTCTCTGAGAGTTCAAATAAACAGTGTTACCATGTTGGACGGAGAGGCGGTGACCGACTGAGTGAGGAAGGAGTAGAGGAATGAGGGTGGTGCAGTGGAGGGATGGAGCATGGGCCATGACTCCATGCACCGTCCTTGAATGGGACGCAAAGGGCGGCACGGTGCGGTGTGGTGCGGTGAGTGGATGAATAAGAATGGAGGAAATGGCTGGCTGACAGAGGATCAAGGCAAGGCACGCCATGTGGCAAGATATGCTAGCCCTTCTGGCACAAGGCAAGGCCCTTCTGTGTTTCTTTTCCTTTGCTGATGGAGCAGTGAGTCAGCAACCCATGGGGTGTTTCTGCTCACAGAAGCCCCCCCCAACCCAAACTGGCTGCTGCTCCTCTAATAAATCGAAGTGGAGTGGGATCATGCGATGGGATCGCAATAAATAAACACGGCGGCCCGTGCTCCTGCTGATTCTGCTGAGCCTATGTGCTGTATCATAGTGACCCACTCCGATCTTGCTTCTGTATTTTGAATAATGTGAGGCTTTTCATTTGGGAACTGCTGTCGTGGCGCTGGGATAACATGAATATTTTTTTTGGAATAAAAAATTAACAGATTGTGATTCGATTTGAAGAGGAGTTTTGCTGTAAAGGAGACAAGCTCCTTCACATTCTCGCAGGTCCGATGGACCTGCCACCTAGTCTCATTCTCATTTCTCTTCTCTGATTGCTTACCGTAATCCCCCGGATATAACACCCCGGGTATAGTACAAAATTCATGCAAAATCAGGGGGGTGGGTGCTCTATTTTGCGTTTAGGCTATAGCACCCTGGTGTTATATTTGAGGACAGAATTTTTAAGATGTGCATTAGATTCAGTGCGTCATGGCGATTTCAGCCATTCAAATTCCGGCTGAAAAGGCGTACGTTTTCTCGAGGTCCGGAATAGCCCCGGATTGCCCACTTGCTCACGAATTTCAGGTTTGTGTCAGGTTAGTGAAGCGAGATTGGGGGGTTGGCGACACTCGCAATGGACTGAACGAAAATTGCGACGCTCATCAGCCAATCAGCACAGGTCTGTTGCACAATTGAAACAAAAATTGTCGGCTCACTGCGCTTTTCCAGGTGAAGATTTGTTTCACTTTGTCGTTTTCAGTACCAGAGAACCTCGTCAAGTGCCTCGGAAAATTTCAACTTTTGCATCCTGGTCATAATCAGCATGAAATAGCATGAAAAAACTGCATTTGTTGCTGGTATTGTTAGGGGTAGAAGGGTTCGAATGTAATGGGGGGGGTGCTCTCCTGGAACCCTCAAAAAGAGGGTGTATAATTGCGGATTCTTCAATAGAACACCCTCCCCGGATATAACACCAGGGGGTGCTTAATTTCGGCGGGTGTTATATCCGGGGGATTACGGTACTACCATCAGCACACTTTAAACCCCTCCTATGCCCAGACCTGGGCATAGGAGCACGCTATTTGCGGACGTGATTGCTGCACGTTTTTCTACCATGACTGGAGGAATTGTTTCTGCTGCAACTGGTCGTCCTCCTGTTTCAAGAATGAATTTAAGGAGCAATGGACGACGTGGATCCCCTGTGCGTGAGGGAAGTCAAGATTCTTCTACTCACCGTGATCGTTCCCGCTCTCCACGCAACAGAAACGCATTTGTTACTGCCTTGGATCTGCTGAATGGCGCTCGGCGAAACCCCGTTCAGCAACCCAGATTGGCTCCCGTCGGAGATCGTAACGCTTCTGACGGTCGCGATTTTCCCCCCGGGTTTCGCGGCGAGCGGCGTGAAGAACGTGAACGTGTCGGCGAGAAAACGCCCCGACACCCGTGGAACAGTTGCGCGCGGCACCCCTCGCCCGCAATCATGACGGTCCTGCGCGCGAGGATCGCAATGATCGAAATGATGAGCAGAATCCTGAGCGTGACCAGACGCGTCAGGACCTGGGTCGTCAGAATCTTGACCAGCGCGCAAATCGCCAGGAGCGCCAGGATCGTGGCGATCGCCAGAATCTGGACGTCCACGCCGATTTTGAATCTCGCCTGACGAATCAGCGCGCACAGCAGGATCCTATCATCATCGCCAATGGATATGCAAATTTCGCCGAAATGATGGCGCGAACCCCGCCACCCAGCGAAATTTCCAGCGAATCTTCACGGGTGCTGCAATTGGTGAACGCGTTACAGCGCGCTCCTCTGCTTCTACAGCGCCTCGATCTGCAGAACACATTCCTGCTCGTTACAACAACAATGACAACGCTAATAATGACGCAATTCATCACGTCATCGGTCTTCTCGCGGCCCTTCAGCGCGGACAAACCGGTGATCCAGCACCACCCCCTGCACCTGCTCGACCTGCGGCAGCAGCAGTGCTACGCTCCCGCCCTCCTCCCGTCGCGGCCGAACCCGAGGGCGATGGCGAGGACGACGACGCGCCCATGGAAACCCTTGACGAAGGTAACGCCGCTCGTCTCAAGTCCGGTTCTACCGCCCCGAATCTTGCTCCTATCCCTCCTGCACGTCCTCAGTTGCGTTCTTCTTTGGTAAAAAGTGACGGCATTCGAACCCAACTTTTTAGTTTCGAGCGTATCCAGGCTATTGCTCGGCACGCGCTCTCCGCTTTGCCCCCTAGTGGTGGCGAGTTAGCCGTCGACTATCTCCAGCAGATAGTCGAGGAGGCGGAGGAAAAGATTCATTTCTTATTCACTGCAGATCAACACGGTTTTGAAGTGGCCAATATGGCCCTAAAGATTAAGTATGGGGAGGTGGTGGAAGATAAAAACGTTAAGGCCGCCACACAAATTGTGGCACCCAGCAAAAAGAGACCTACTAGACCCACCACCTCGACATCCCGCACCGATCCCCCCCCTCGTAGTAGGGGTGAAGACGCACGTACTTGGAATACATGGCGTCGGGATGGCGACGGTCGATGCTTTTATTGTCGCGAACCCGGTCATGGGTTTAAAGATTGTCCTCGCCGAGGCCAAGGGGCCAACCGGCCGGCTAAGATTGTCTAGAGGCTTTGATGGCCGATTCTTTGTAAAACCTTGATGCTATAAATCTATTATTTCATGTTAAAGATTGATGTTGTGCCAATTGGTGATCGAGCATGCGGCTCAAATCCGCTTCGAATATAGCACGGCAATAAGCTATTCAATATTTGCGTGCAAAAAAAAAAAAAAAAAAAAAAAAAAAAAAACAACAACAATAACCCCAAAAAAGGGAGTAGGGGGAAGCATGAGAACGGCAGAAGTGCCGGAAAAGAAAGGCAGTCCAAAAGGTACAAAACACACGTGGAACATTGGAACACGCACCTCAGACCGATGAAAGCATGACAAAGATTGTAACATTGCTGGTGCGCACACTGCGATAAGTGTTGCCTTCATTCTTGCTTTCGCTTCGACTATTTCGAGCACACTTCTCACGCTACGCATGCTTCGGCAAACATATTTGTATAGTCAAGAACGATAACTTACATCTGGCCCTTGTGGCTTTTTATTGCACTTGTTCGTCACCGCCCCTCACCAGAGCTTGGCTCCTTCGCCGTACATGTTGCCACATCGGGTGATACAATCTGTATGCGAGGACGCCTGCGTGCCTGCTTTGCATGGTGGTCCGGTTGGTGCGATAGTGTGAGAGTACGATCCCGTTCCATTCTCTTCTCCTTTCCATATTCCCTTTCCATTTCATTCCTCTTTTTATCTCATTCCATTTGGGTTGATATTTCTCCTTTTCCATTATCCTTTGGTTTATCTTGTTATTTTCATTAAATCACCCACCAAGCTCGGGATGTACTGGTGCGCTCTATCTAGCGTAATCCTGCCGTAATCCCTTAAAGCCAATAGCCTCGCATGGCTATACGCAGGGTGATTCTATTTTCTAGAAGGGTCTATTCCCTTGGGATAAGATAAACCTGGTTACCTGATGTACTTTCGAAGTATAAAAGCGCCTTGTACTGATCGATAGTGCAACCTTTCCTCGACACATTCGATCCTGTGACAGATAGCCGCTTCATGCTATCGGTCCTCGCGTCATGCTATCGCCTTCCCTGGGCTTCTTCAGAGCCTCTAGTGCGGCATGCCTCAAACCATGCCGGGGCACTCCGATTCCACACATTCGCGGTGGAGGCGGTGGACGAGCTCCTCGCTACGGGAGCGGCCCGGCTCGTTCCTCCATCGGAGCCACTCACATGCATCAGCCCGCTTAACGTAGTCGTCCAACCTTCCAAAAAGAGGCTCATATTGGACCTCCGCCACGTGAATTCATTTCTTTCCGTCCCCCGTTTTCGCTACGAGGGCTTGAATCGGGTGCCCGACTTGGTGCAGCAAGACGATTGGCTATTCACCATCGATCTAAAATCCGGCTACCACCCCGTGGATATCCATCCCTCGTATTGGCGCTTCCTTGGTTTTACACTCCAAGGGCAGCGCTACCAGTTTCTATAATTGCCTTTTGGTCTAGCTGCTGCGCCGTTCGTTTTTACTCAGCTGATCAAGCAGCTCGCAAAACGTTGGCGCGGACGTGGCATCCGACTTATCCCATACGTCGATGACATTTTGTTCATCAACGCTACTCGAGCCGAGGCCCTTTGCCACCGTGCCGTCATTTTAGCGGATCTTCAGTCAGCTGGCTTCGCTGTCAACTTTAGGAAGTCGCAGCTCGAACCAACCCAGTGCATAAAGTTTTTGGCCTCCTGCTGGACACTCGCACCACGTCTTTCTCCGTCGATGACGGCAGACGCGAGCGACTCTTCGCCAAACTTGAGCAGACATGTGCACTTAGCGCGAAAGGGCGGCCTATCCCAGTCTGTCGGGCCGCTCGCATCACTGGCTTGCTAGCCTCCATGGCGCTCGCACTTGGCACGGTCGCGCGTGCCTTCTCCCATGATCTTCTTTCTCAGATCTCTGAGTGTCACTCTTGGGGGGCGTCAATTCTCTTGACACCCAATTCTCTCAACGAGTTGCGTTTCTGGCTCACCCAGTTCAATGTCTTCAATGGCTCGCGCTTCCACAATCCTCATCTCTATGACGTCGTGATGTATATGTATGGGGCGCATGTTTTTCAGCGCCGGACGGCGACGTTGGTTGTGCCAATGTGTGCATATGAGCTCTAGTCACACATAAATGACCAAAATATGTGAGCGTTGGCCTTTTGGGAATGAACTGACCACCGTGATAGCAGGAGGGCATTAGAGGCATGGGTGTGAGACATCGGCTGGAAACATGAGAATTGTGTGTGCCATTAGGGCGTGCCTCATTTTCACGAACAACCTCAGAACTGAACACTCACCGCACTGTACCATCTCAAATTGAGGATACAACGTAGCTGAGAACACCATACCGCTTTCAACCTCTCTGAATGGTCGAACCCGAGGTGTGTTCGAAAAGGCGTGTTCGTAAAAAAAAAAAAAAAAAAAAAGTGACGCGCCCTTAGCTGCACTCATGTGTCATGAGCGGTGACCATCTAGCTTTAAAATTTTCACCATGGGAGTACGAGAGCAGGAGAAGCATGGATGTGAGCATCAGCAGAGACCGTGAGAATCATGCGTGTCATCAGCTGCACTCATGTGTCAATGGCAAGAACGTGTGCGACGACGGCACACGTGATGCAGG